CGGCGAATCCTCAGGTCGTAACTTTCTCCGGTCATAGATCCGTGTCGTTGCGATATTTGCATGCCCCAACCACTCTTGCACCTTCGCAATATCAGCCTCATGATCCAGCGCATTAGTAGCAGCTGTCGCCCGCAACGCATGCGGAGCAATCCGTTCAGCACTAATGCCAACCGCCTTAGCCCACGTCCTCACTATTAGGTATAAGCCTTCAGCCGAAAGCCCCTCTCTTACTTTCCCGTTTCGAGTCCGCTCCCGAATCGACCGAAACAATCCACCCCCAGCATCACCGCCGTGCCCGGCAAGTTCCAGGTAGTCATTAATTAGCTCAGCCGTCCCCGGATGCAACGGCACATTACGCAGCTTGCCGCCTTTGCCATGCACCCGTAGATGTTTCACGCCGCGCAGCTCCCGGACATCTTTGACTTTCAGCTGCGCCACTTCCTCGCGGCGCAACCCGTGGAAAAGAAACACCGACAGAATCGCCCGATCCCGTTTGCCTTTGAGCGTGGCCGGATCCGGCGCCAGTAAGAGCGCCTTGGCCTGGTGATCGCCCAGAGCAGGGGTCTTGCCCTCATAGCTCTCGACCCTGGGCCGCTTCACGCCCTTGACGGGGTTGGACGGCACCGCATTGGCATCACACAAGAACTCAAACAATGACGACAGCGCCGCCAACTTGCGACGCACCGTCGACCCCGCAAGCTCACGCGCCTCCAGATCCTTACGCCAGGCGATGATGTGCGAGCGGGTCACCAACCGAAATTCCCCCGCGCTCGAGATCCCCACAAACGCCATGAATTCAGCCAGGTCGTTCTTGTACGCCCGACGGGTCTGCAGGCTGTCGATGTTGGCGAACCATTCGGCTTCGGGCGGCACGTCAGCCAGGCCCTGGAATTCGACGGCCGTCAGCCGTCGCGGACCCAGCTCATTGGACAAATCGAATGTCGACTCTGGTACTGGCACCAGCGCGGCATCTGACTCGGTGCCAGGCTTACTCATCAGCGAAGGCCGCCAGACCTTCGGTTTCCAGCGTTCGGGTGAATTCATCGAACGCCGCACGATCAGTATCGAATTGATCGTCCCAGACGATGGACGTGCCTTGCTCGTTGACGACTTCGAGCACCCAGGGGCTGTCATCGGTTCGGTAGATATGCAGCTCAAGGGTCACGCCGTTGTGAAAGACGTCTTGGCAGAGCGGCGAATGGTGCAGAACGGGGTCGACTTGAGCCATGGACGGCCTCCGAAGAGTTAAGTACCTAACCGCCCATTGTATACCGATAAAATATGTTATCAGTATAGAATTGATCATCAAAGACTGGGTACTGCTCATAAGGTCACAAGAACTCAGTAGCCAGACCAATCAATTGAAAAACCGCCTGAAGAGACTCTCTTTATTAAAGTCATGTCATCCATCCATAGTGAGAGACCGTTTTCGAGCAGTGTTTGTGAACGGTAGTGATTCGCAGCCTAGGTCACGATCAATTAATCAAATCTTTCGGGTACCTTTAATGCAAAAGCGCTGACTATCGCCATTTTGGAGACTAGCCATCGTCAACAAGTTTTTATAGGTTTAAGATTGAAATGCATAAAGGGGCCGGCCCCTTACGAGACCGGCCCTGGTTAGCTAATCTTAGAAGTTTGGTACGCCCTGCTAAGCATAATGAACGACTAACATTAGATGAGCGAAAGCTATTGAAAAATAGTCCATAAATA